TTATTCGTCTACTAGTTTTGACTTTAATACCTACAATTGTAGCAGTATCCTTTTACTCTAAGATCTTAAAATTTGTCAATATTCTTAGTCTTTCAAAAAGTAACTCTGTACTGCCTGTAAGATTGAAACTACACAAACTGTAGATTAGGTACTTGGAGAATTTCCTGGGAAGCCTTTGAAGGTTGTTTCCACATTTGGATGTGCAGTCCTTGTTTCCTACTAGTGGGCTTGTCATGCCCAATTAAATGAAATTTACTATTAAATTTTCTGGCATGTTCATAGTTACAAATTTTCTTTGTTTGATTATAACCTGGTAGGAAGAAGGATAGATTTTTATTTAGCCAGTGCAAGTAATCACATTGCCATGTAATATAAAAGAACTCAATAATGACATGTTTTATAATATTTGACAATTTCTTCTGATGCTTTGCAGACAAAGCCAACCAGTATGTGTTGTAATTTCTATGTGATTACTCTCTTTTAATTTACCTAATTGTGTCCTAATTTATGTTGCAGTTACTATTGCTGTATAACAAACCACCCTGAACTTATTGGTGAGAAACAACAACTAATTTAGACACCCATAAATTACGCCACTCAGGAATCTTGTCAGGACCCAGGTGGGCAATTCTTTTGCTCCTCATGGCATTGCTGAAGTCACTAAGTAATATTTTGCTGATGGATGACCTAGTCTGGAAGATCAAAGATGGCTTCTCTCACAGGTCATGTGCCATGGCAGGGGATAACTGGAAGACTGGACCCAGGTGGGACTGTTGATTCTCAAGTCCACATGTCACCTCTTTAGCATGACCATCTGAGGGTAACTGGACTTCTTACATGGTAACTCTCTTCCCCTAGAGTGAATGTTCCAAGGGAACAAGGCAGTTGCTTTTTATAACCTAGTCTCCGAATTCATGTAGCATTACTTTTACCACACTCTGCTAGTTAAAGCAGTCATGAGTCTGCCCAGATTTAAGAGGAGGGGAATAGACTTTACTTCTTGGAGGAGTGGCATGACAACTTTGGCAAAGAACTTGTGGAATGGGAGATATTGTTGAAAAATACGACCTGCGTTTGGAAACTACAAGCTGCAACAGTTGATAAGGTTTTTCAGAATATATATCTTCTGAATTCTGAAGAATCAGTGGGGACAACATACATCCAAAAAGTGTTTATTCCAGTTTGCCCAAGTATAGTCAGCCACAATGAGGGTTAGTGAAAAATTAAGAAGAAAAAGATGCTTTCCTAAAATAACTATTAAATTTTCCTCACTGGTTCTATGTAGTCTTGCAAAATTAATTATTTTTCATTGGTTAGCTGCATGCTTTTCTGTGTATGATTTTGGACTATACAGAACTGTAAATACTAACTTAAGTTTTCTGGTACAATCTATCTGCGGTCTACTTTTGGTGGCGATGTTTAGAAATGTTATCTTGGCCATGCTCGGTGGCTCAGCCTGTAATCCTAGTACTTTGGGAGGCTGAGGCGAGTGAATTGCCTGAGCCTGTGGGTTCAAGACCCACCCAGGCAAGTTGGCGGGACCTCGTCTCTATAATAAATCAAAAAACAAAAACAAAAACAAAAAAACTAGCCGGCATGGTTGTGTGCCTGTAGTTCCAGCTACTTGTAAGACTCAGGTGGAAGGATCGCCGGAGCCCAGCAAGTTGATGCTGTAGTGGCTGGAGGCGTATCACTGCTCTCCAGTCTGGGTGACAGACTGAGACTCCAACTCAAAAAAAAAAAGAATTTTATCCTATAATCCATTTTGTTGAAAGTTGTGCCAGTCTTTGCACAGTATCATGAATATGTTTCTGTACATCTTGAAAGGAGTTACAAATGCTGAACCACATAGTCTTATCAGTTATACCTTTCCTATATATCGTTGACCTGAACTTTGAACTTCTCTTATTGATTTAATAGCTCTTCTCATGTTATAGGCTTGATAAGCAGAGAGGCTCTCATGAGAGAGTTGAGCTAGCAGAGGATATGAAGATACAATACCTATCTAGTTATTTATAAAGTCTCCTTGCTACCTAGTGGCTCTCTGGGAAGCACCAAGGACACTTTGGGTGTAAAATATATCTTAACAATTTTATTATGCTTAATTTGAGGCCCGAATATGTGAAGTCAGGATTATAAAAAAGTTGTCAGGAGACTTGTTGTGATGTCAAAATATAAGAATAAGTCATAGGTATCCAAGATAAGAAATAATTCCAGGGTTTGTTGGGTATGGCAGTAATTAAAATAAAGCATAGCTACAAGAAACAATAATTATTAGACAATATAGCTTTTTCAGAAGTGGAAAACCCTTGTTAAAAATAATATAACAGCATGATAAAAGTCAACAGAAAATTCCAAAAGCTAAATGGCTTTAACCCATTTATGAGGATGAGTCCTCATGGCTTAAACACTTCCCAAAAGGCCCCACCTACCAATACTATTGCATTGGGAATTAAGTTTTCCAACACATAAATGGGAGACATATTCAGACTATAGCAATCAGCTTCACATTTTTTTATTATTTTGCCTCCTTGTGTAGTTTTTTTTCATGTTTCCCTACTTGGAGTTTATTAAATTTACGTGTTTATAGTTTTTAATCACATCTGGGGAAATGTCAGTCATTAGTTCTTCAAATATTTTGTCTTTCTCACACCCCTTTTCTAGGACTTCATTCATATA